CCGGAGAGGAGGGAGGAGAAACCGTGAGGGGAGGGGAAGGGAGGAGAGGAGGGAGGAGGAGGTCGCCGGAGAGGAGGAGGAGGAGGTCGCCGGAGAGGAGGAGGGTAGTATGGTGGAGGAGAGAAGGGAAGATGGAGTGGAGGAGAGGAGGAGATGGAGTGGAGGAGAGGTGGAGTGGAGGAGAAAAATGAAGGAGGAGAGAATCACGCCCAGCCATATATATGGCATAGTAATGGCGCACCGCGGGCAGGTGCGCCATTACTAACTTTTTTTTTTATTTTTTTGATTTATTTTGAATTTTGAAGGGGGGAAGATACTAATGGCGCACCGTGGGCAGGTGCGCCATTAGTAACTTTTTTTTATTTTTTTGACTTATTTTGAATTTTGAAGGCGGGAAGATAGTAATGGTGCACCATGGGTAGGTGCGCCATTAGTAAGTTTGATTTTTTTTTGAATTTTTTTGCCTCTCCAGATCTTAAAAGCCCCATATCTTTTTTTCTGTTAGGTTTTTGAGGATTTTGAAAATGTTTAACAGGGTTCCCCGGTTAAATTCGGATGTAACTTTTCGAGTAGATGATTTTTCATATAAAAAACTTTTTCATCCGAGTTCGTACGCAAAAGTTATGTCCATTTTACAAATTCTTGAGAGATTTTGCAAATAAAATCGAAATTCATATTTGTAAATTTTCACAACAACTAGACCACATATCACATGGGAAACTTATTTTCTTTTATTTTTTTGACATTTACATCATTTTTGTTTATTTTTTTTAAAACTGAAAAGGCGGTCCGGGGGGGCATTCGGTGGAAGTGGTGACCAAGTTGCTAATGGCGCACCGTAGGGGTGGTGCGCCATTACTAGTTCAACTAGTAATGGCGCATCACTCCACGGTGCGCCATTAGTAGTTTTGAAAAAAATTAAAAAAAAACTTTTTTTACTAATGGCGCACCGTGGGAGTGGTAAGCGCCATTAGTAGTTTTGATAAAATTTAAAAAAATTTACTAATGGCGCACCGTGGATGTGGTGCGCCATTAGTATTTGCATGCGCCATTAGTATATAGTAATGGCGCACCACATGTCTGATGCGCCATCAGTGTCAATTCCATCTATAGCCCTTTTCCTAGTAGTGTTTCACAGTACTTCATAAGATCGGCAGTGAATCAATCTTTGACAATACGTGATATTCTGTTTAGCGTAATTTATTATGGTTGTAATAATGCATTATTTCTTATCATAATATGTTCAATCTTGGCTGGTCACCCTGCTAAATATTTCCTTCATTTACCCGCCGGAATCCTTCCATTTTGGACAATCAGGGGAAGGATATCTCTCCCACGTTTGAGGTGCAGTCTCCACATGGTGTCTCGCTTCTTTAAAAAAAATGCCCTGGGTCCTACTGACCATGGGTAGAGTTAAAGAAAAGCAAATAATGCTCGACTAGTATCACGCCTAGCATTTCACCAACACTTTATCTTTTTATTAAAAAAGAATCTTGATTCAGGAAGAGAAACAGGGAAATCCAATTCTTAAGTGCAACACACATTTATCAATAAATTATGAGAACTGATTTTATTGATTACTTTAGACTTTTAGAGTACTGCTTCCATATTTACAAGACAACAATAAAGCCTACACAAATGAAATAGATACAAACACACTTGTATGCAAAATAAAGATAAACATACAACATGAACTCACTATATGAGCAGCCCTAATTTGGGGTAACTACCTATGGGAAATTCTATTTCTGTAGACAACCTTTGAACCATCGCCAAGACTATTACAGGTTACAACAAGCTGAGGCTGTTTGTGCCCCCACATCTCACTATCTTGTTATTTTTACCATGGAGACATGCTTTGGCCTTTTATTGCTTTACAAGGTAGCCGCTTCATCGGATTTCACTAACTTGGCTTTCAGCTCTGCATTCTCCCTTTGTAACCGTTCAAGCTCGGACTTCAGAACTGCATTGTCACGCCGCAGCCTCTCCACCTCAGCTTCAGCGGTTGTGCTTCCCCCCTAAAAGAAGCACACATATACAAGGTGAAATGCCAATGAGAAGGAGAAAGTGTCTGAGGTCGACAATGGACTACTCAAGAGAATGTTGGTATACTGATTAGATTGCTACTGCGTGTCACCTACATTTTCCTGCTCTGGAGTCAATGGTGAAGATGGGAACTGCCCGGTGTACGGAGCACCAAGCAAGACCTCCCTAATGACTTCATGTGATGCCAAGCCGTCAATGCCCATGTTCTCATAACTCCAGAATGCACCTAGGGTTCCCAAGAACCCTTCGTGACACAGAAATGTCGTTTGAACTTCACCTTTGGACCTGGGAGCAAAACAAAAGGAGCGAAGCAATTATCAATTGCCTGGTCATAGTACAACAATTCTTCTCCTGTTCCTGGATAGCAAAATTTTCTGTACAATTGCAAAGATATTTTGCACGGTATCCACGTAGAAAATTCCTTACCAGTACTTGAGGGAACGAGAAATCTTGTCCATAGTCTTCTCATGACCACAGACATAAGCACCTCGAAAGAAGATTCTCTTTAGGCCTGATAGATTAGCCACAAAGTAGGCTATCTAGATAAGAAATAAGAACACATCAGAGGATACTTCATGATGGTGCCTGGTAATTCCAATATCTGGAGAAAATACCTGTCCAATGTTGTATGTGAAAGAGTTGAGCAGAGCTGCTGCGAGATCTTCTGCTTTGTACTCTGAAAGTTTGCCCGAGTTCACTTTTCCAAAGCTTGCTGCGGTAGTGGATGCTGGAAGACCAATCTAGCGCAAAGAGAGAAAAATTAATGGGCATACTGATCGCCTGGTGTACCAGAGATTCATAATTTCCATGATAAGCATGTCAAAGCCCTAAAACTAATCTTCAAATCTGTACAACAGCTTGTTAGACTGCTGTTCAATTCTGCAATAAATGTTAATATTATTATTATAGCAGAAATCTCACAGAAAAATATATTCTTCCAGAGTACAGATCAAATACCTTTGGATAACCACGCTCCCCATAAATGTCTCCAACAGTCAAATCAACAGCCAAATTATCACCCCTCCGGCTCAAATCCAAGAATTCCTCATAACTACAAGCCACAAGGAAAATTCAGAGATTGTTTAATCATGTATCAACGAACATTCCTACATCTTATAAGCACACAAGCTAACTCGATAGTACCTTGAACAGCCAGTTAAAAGCCTTGCAAGACCAAGGATAGTACCACCACCCAGATGTGATCCGATAATTCGCTCGAACTTCCCCTTACCAATTACCTGACAAGATTGTTTTTTGCTGATAGAAGTGCTAGTGCACAAATAATAAAAAGAATGAAAGCAGTGTGCTGGCTAACCTCTATCATGCTGACACCAGATCCAATATTAACAAGGAGATAAGGAAATATGTTGCTATCGTTGTGTTCGTCTGCTGATGTCACATCAGTAGGACCTGCTGCCTCATGACTGTTCTCCTACAGCAGTGGGGGAAACCCACAATTAAGCTTGGAAAGATAAATCAGCCTAACCACAATAACATTTATTTATTTCTGCATCGTACCTATTCACATGACTTGTATGCATAAAAAACTCTATGTGTTATTGTTGTGGCGTCCAAGCCACAACTATACAAATGGAATGGTAGATCAGTCCTTTACTTCTGCTTTACTTGAAAATGTGTGCAATTTGTTCCCACTGGCACACATTATGCACAAGCATTTTACTTAAATAAAACACGATACTCAAACTTGTCGTGTTTCTTGTAGTGTGCAAGAAAATGATAAACATATAAAGGATATCATCATAGGAGCTCACCTCTTGAGATTCCTCGAGGTTCAAGTTTTCATCTCTGGGATCCCCGTAACTCATCAAGGCACCAAGAGCACCTAAATACCCTTCATGTTGCAAGAATGAAGCTTGCATTTGACTCTCTGACCTGAATGACATACCTCAAATGTTAAGATTCTTTCCAAGGTTGATAAAATAAGAGTAGAAACATTCAATGAGAAACCAAAAAGGAGTTTCTTAGAATCCTCTTAAGGACCACAAACTTATACTACTAAATACAAGCATTCTATATTTTTTATATGAACAGATGCTCATCAAGAGGAATACATTTGGAAAATATAAAATGCTTACCAGAAGTCTAGTGCATAAGAAATATTATCCATTGTGCTCTTGTGTCCACGTATGTATGATCCACCAAAAAAGACCCTTCTGAGGCCCAAGAGTGATGCAACAAGAAAAGAAATCTGCAGGACACATACGAAGAGTGTGATATGAACCCATATTTCAATAGACAACAATAGACCAGCACCAATAGGGGAAACCGTGAAAGTACCCTTTTTTAATAAGGGGCTCCCCCTCCGGTTTCATTTACCAGAAACCATAATGTCTTTTACAACTACTAAGCAAAGAAAAAAAGGAGAGATCAATCGCAGCATAATGCCCCCATACATGCCTAAGCTACCAGGCTGGAGAAGATGAAGCAGACTGAAAAACCACACAGCTCTTCAGTCTTTTCTATACTAGGCATCAGGGACTACGGAAGCAACATTCGGTGAAAGTACCCCATAAAATGTACTTTCTTATAATGCAATTATTCCTATTAATAACATGCTTAAGGCCGTTTAAACAAAATCAAAATGATTTTACTGAAACAATTTGTCTTGAGATAAAAAACACTTTGTGACATTGAATGAGTAAACCCTATGCCTCTTCTCTCCAGTAAAAGTCGTTATACTACTATGCATTTCTTCTTCAGATCAACAAGCATGTCTGCTTAGTTTTTCTTTTCTTCCAATAAAGCGAGGTTGAGTGCCATCCATGTAAACAGCTATGAGTAGCTGAGACAATAAGTATAATTTAATAACATGCGGGAGCACATAACATAAACTCACTTGTGCAATATTGTAAGTAAAGGCACTCAACAATGCGGATGCAAGGTCTTCAGGCTTGTAATCTGCTAGCTTTTTCATAGAAGTAATAACTTTTCCAAAGCTAGAAGCAAGAGTCGAAGTTGACAGTCCTTGCTGAAACATATTAGGAAAGGATAAATCAGTAATCTATAAGGACCAATGCTCATTCATGGTATGCGAAAGAATTAATATTTTTAATACAATATAAATATTCAAGATAAAGATTTCAATGTGCTTCATCAATTATTCTAAAGACAATGCTCCCAGTAGACATATTGCTTTCCAAGCAATCTTGATGAATAAGTTAATTCAAGGTAAGCATAAGTATTTATACCGCCAAGTAGTAACAGAATCATAAGCAAGCAATGAAACTATCAATATTCTCCTAGCAAATATTCAAGTCTGACAGAATTGACCAACACACTAGGGCACTACTGGCCTACCAAAACTACCACAAAATAAAAAGGCAAGTACATAGAACTGCAACAACAAGGCAAGGAGGGTGACGGCAAACCTTCTGGCAGGCAAGCTCCCCGCATATATCCTTCACAACTAGATCAAGTACAAAATTGTCCCCTTTCTGGCTTAATTGCAGGAATTCATCATAACTAAGAGAACAATAATATATTAGTGGGAAAAATATGTAAACCAAGATATTTATGATGCAAAAGGAAACACATTACCTCTTGCAGCCTGTTAATAGTTTTGCTAACCCAAACATAGTACCGCCACCAATATGTGTCCCAGTTACCCTTTCAAATTTTCTATTTCCAGTGACCTGCATTATACTTGATAACACATGGTTATATGAGCTGCATTCTGCTGTATTTCCATATGAGAATCATGATGACGAAGAAGTGCAACCTTTAATATGCTAACTCCTGAGCCAATGTTCACAAGAAGGTAAGGAAACAAGTTATCTGGGGAAATATCAATCGAGTTCCTCTTTCCACTCATGTGTGTGAAGGCTGCGCCAGGAACATTCTGCAAGGAAGCATCAGTTAAATGGAAAACCAGATCTAAATGAGAAATAAATATCAAGAATGCAGTAATACCTTACAAAATATTAACCGGAAAGAACCATATTTTAAGCAGTGTTACAATGTGAAAGAATTTTTAAAGTTCAAAATCCAAATGAGAAGGTATGTGGTATGATGAGAGCAGCTTACAACTCACCTGTAACAAAAAGTTTGCTCCAGAAACAACACTGTCCATTTCATCAAGCTTGTCAAGACTAACACCTAATTTTTGCCGAAAATCATCACCAAATTTATATGATCCACCACCTGTTGCCTGCAAATGATCTCCATTACAGTCGATTCTGGTCAAGCTATTTTACAATCAAACAATACAAAATAAAATGACAAGGGTACGTGTTAAACATTAAACAAGGCTGTAATACAAAACACAAACAGACAATATTAAGCTCTAAATTCTCAAGCAAAGGTATATTCAATATGGAAATCAGAATTCACAAGCACACATCATTGGTCATTCTTGTGTTTGCAATTATTGATACTTGGGGCAGCCGAGTTGCCGAGGGTTTTGCCTCAGCTACAAGTATGCACAAGTCTCAACTCTAGGGGCGAAATCTATGTTTCCTAAACGCGCCAAAAACAGTTACACTCTGTCGCTTGGCGACAAAATTTTGTTCCTGCAACTCTTTAGGAGTATCTATTAGTGATAGCATGGGTCCATGAAAATTAATTGCAAGAATTATTTTTAACAATAAATTGTAAATAGTAAGAATGATTTTAGTGGATCTGGATTTTGCCAAAGTGCAAACCGCATTAATACGCTCCACATTATTCATTTAAGATATTTGCATATGGTATTCAAGCAATCAGAATTCACAAGTGCATATCATTCGGCATTCTTGTGTTTGCAATTATGATACTTTGGGCAGTGGAATAAACGAGGGATTTGCCTCAGCTAAAGCCTACAAGTATGCCAAGTATTAACTCAGGAGGTGATATCTGTGTTCCCTGGTGCACCAAAAACAGTTATAATCTGTTGCCTGACGACAAGAATTTATTCTGCAACTCTATAAGAGTATTTATTATCGATAGCGTGGGTCCATGAACATTAATTTCAAGAATTATTTTTAACAATAAATTGAAACTGGTAAGAATGATTTTGGTGGATGTTGACAGGAGCACTAATAAATAGTCTTATAGAGTTTCAGGGATGTTGATAGCGAACCAAATCCCATGTAACTGTCCAAGGCACTGGTGCAGAATGAATGTGTCATTTGAAAATTTACATTTTGGGTAAGAGAAGAGGTAAAGCAGGTCATACAAGTTACGGCAAATAAATAGATAAGAACTTCCAAGTGCTAACTGCATAAATGATCTCCATTTTTATTAACGTATTCATCTTGTGGGTCATAAGCCCAAAAGGTCGTTGCTACTTGCTAACACAAGAAAAACAAATCATACCTTCAGTGTCATATTTTCTTTGCTTGACCCTGTCGTTGTCCCTGGCATGAGAATGTTACACTTCAACCCATGATAAAGATAAAACTCCAACACATAACTAAATCATCAAACAACAGAAGCTGAAACCTTTTTTTTTAGTTGGGCAGAAGCTGAAACTTGACAGAGTGAAAACAGAGTAAAAAACTGTGTTTGCATCGCAGAAAAGAGCGATTGCAAATGCCGTAACTGTTGTCAACAGCTAAATTCTAGATTCCCCTCGTCCTAAAATTGATCATGAGCTACAAGTCGACAGCAACAAACTTCTGAATGCTCTGAAGAACACCCTAGCTCACGAGCAAGTAACAGCTGCTGATCAAGCCATCCTATCCTACTTATTTTCCAGCGGAGCAGGGTCACCCAATTCTCCAATCTCCACATTGCGTGATTAACCGTGCCAGGAAGCCAAATGAGGTAAAGAAGAATCAATCAATTCGGCGCTGCAGCCAGCGAGGTGCATACCATTGCAACCGAGGAGGCCTTGTGCCCGGACGAAGTCGAAGCAGTCGTCGAGCCTCCGCCTCTCGAACTTGGCGAACCGCAGCTCCTCCTCGCCGCCGCAGCTGGCCGTGTACACCAGCTTTATCAGGGTCCCTGCGACCGCGGCACCCTCGCCCTCAGCCAGCAGCATAAAGACCACCGAGACCAGCCGGAAATCCAGAATTCAGAAGCAGCCGGGAGCTTATAAAAAATTAAGAATTACCTCCGATGTCGAGGGCGAGGAGCGGGGAGGCGGCGGGCTGGCGGGGGAGGAAGATGGGCGGGCTGCCGTCGCCGGGGTCGGCGCGGATCTCCGCGCCGGAGAGGTCGATCTGGCGGCCCATTGCAGCACGGATCGCCGGCCCCCTCGGGGATCACGCGCGCATTTGGCTGCCGTGCCGCGCCTCCTCGTCGCGTTTGACTGCCGCGCTTGGACTTTGCGGGGAAGTGGAGTAGTAGTAGGCAGGCAGGCGGCTAGCTGGTGCGATCGCAGCTGGGCGCTGGTGGGTGAGCAGTAGGGCAGGGCAGGGTGGGTGGGTGGTGGATGATGAGAGATCCCAGCCAGAGTCAGTCAGAGGCCAAGAAGAATAGAAGGAGGGTCGGAGTAAACAGGTCGGATTGGGATTTGGATTGGATTTGGGTGCCAGGCAAGCCAGCCAAGTCTCCTGCCTTGCCGGGCCTCTTTTTTAATCTGGACAGTGATAAGTTTCCTAGCTTGGAACTTGGACAGTGTTGGGCTGTTGGCTACTCCAAAGGAATGGCAACTTGCGTTCAAGTGGGAATTGAAAACATCATAATAATGGATCTTGGGCTCCATGGAAGCATCTCAAATGTCGAAAATTTCTGACTTTATTCTTTGTTGTGTACATGTACATTTGTATGTGAGCTACTGCAAGATTTTTTTTAATACCTATGCAATACTGGTTACATTGTAGGCATTCAGACACGGGCAATGTATAAACATGAACCATGTAAGCAGACCTTCGCCATTATGGATGAGTCCTGCCTTGTTGATATACGGAACACGTAAGATGATGATACGGTACGGCGTTTTGTGGGTATGTACCGAGGATGGGTCACAGAAGATGTTGTAAGGTATGGCGTTTTGTGGGAGCGTATGGAGAATGAATCAATGAAGATGTTGATAAAGTATGCCATTTTGTGAGAATGTACGGTGAATTGATCACGTAAGATGTTGATAAAGTATGCCGTTTTGTGGATATGTATAGAGAGTTCAACTGCCAAAAAAGTACAAGCGTGCAAACGTATGAGAGCTGAAAGTACCACATGGTCTGCCTTAATTGTTTATTAGGGACTTCAATGAAATCCTCCATTCTTGTGAGTGGTGTGTGGGGACCCTCACTCACGACCGTACGTGCAAGCGTTTCATGATGTGTTGGATGATTGTGAGCTGAAGGATGTCAGCTACGTAGGGGACGAGTTTACGTGGACGTCTGGAGCTATACGCGAGTGCCTTGATCGCAAGGTAGCTACTGAAAGTTGGTGACAATTGTTCCCGACAACCGCCATTATGAACATGGGGTTCAATGGATTGGATCACCGACCATTACTGCCAGATACTGATCACTATGCTACAGAACTAAATGGTACTCACAGAAAGAAGTGGTTTGAAGCATACTGGCTTCTGGAAACAAGTTTTGCTGATGCCGTATCAGATAACTAGGGGGAAGCGGGTATACGTGAGTCCACCGGTGGCGTGCTGCCCAAGTTAGGTTACCTCTGCGTTGGGCTTCACGAGTGTGACAACATGTTACTGAAGGAACCACAAAAATTTTGCATAAGGTTCGGCAAGAGATCTAAAGGGTGATGTGTAGCCCTATAATACATTGAGACTAAAGTGGAGAAAGAGGAACTCACAAGTGAAACTGGAAAGATGCTAGAATAAGAGGAGATCCACTAGTGGTAAATGGCTTGTGTGAACTAATTGAAGAACAACAATTGGAATTCCAAAAAAACATGGTTTCACGTCAAAGACGAAGAGACACAATCATATCATAAAACTGGAAAATGGCCAAGACAGTTGGATGGAAGGCAATGACCTACTGAGGCTGCTTATTCGGGATTATTTTCGTCATCTTTGTTCATCGAAAGTCCTTGGTACTAACCATGCTATCCTGGATAAGATTGTGTTGTGAGTTGCTCAGGATATGAATAACCACCTGGTAGCCCCGTTATGGGCAGATGATGTGAAGAATGATGTTCTCAGAGTTGGCGATCTAAAGGTCCCTGGGAGTAATGTCCCACACGCCATATTTTTCAAGAGGATTTTCATCTCGTTGGGAAGGAGATCACCTATGAAGTTCTTGCAACAATTAATAATAAGCTTATTCTAGAAAATTAGAGCCATACTACAATTTGTCCTAGTTTCAAAGGTTGATGCACCAAAACTAATCACCCAGTAGCATATGCAATGTTACATACAAAATAATCTCCAAGATGCTCGCGGGAGATTGAAGACAATTCCTTTAGATATCATTCCATTGTCCTAGAGTGCATTTATTCCTTCTAGCATAATAATTTATAATGTTTTAGTCGCTTATGGGAGTATCCGTACAACTAAGAATAAGAGAAGAGGCATACATTCAGACCTTCAGACGTGGGCCATGTATAATCATGAATTATGCAAGCAGACCTTCGATATTATGGATCAGTCCTACCTCATTGATGTATGGCTCACGAAACATGTTGATAAGGTATGTCATTTTCTAGGTATGTACGAAGAATGGATCACGTAGTATGTTGATAAGGTATGGTGTTTTGTGTGTATGTACGTAAAGTTCAACTAGGCAGAAAAGTACAAACGTGGCTATGAGAGAGCTGAAAGTGCAACATGGCCTACTTTGGTTATTTATGGGGGGCTTCAATGATATCCTCAATTTCCATGGGGGTGCTCACCCACAACTGTGCGTGCAATCTTTTCACAATGCGTTGGATGATTGCGAGTTCAAGGATGTCAGATATGTTGGGTATGAGTTTACCTGGACATGCGGAGCTATACGTGAATGACTAGATCGCGGGGTAGCTGCTGAAAGTTGGTGATCACAATTATTTTCGATAGCAACCATTGCGAACATGGGGTTTAATGCTTCCGATCACCGGCCATTATTGCCTGATAAGGATCACTATGCTACAGTACTAAATGGTAATAGAAAGAAGATGTTTGAGATGTGTCGGCTTCTGGAAGCCAATTTTGTTGATGTCGTATCAGATGCCTGGGAGTAGGCTAGTATAGGTGAGTCTACTGGTGGCGTGTTGCCCAAGTTAGGTCACCTCCGTGTTGGGTTTCATTAGTTAGGCATCTTGTTACTGAAGAAACCACATAGACATTTGCATAAGGTGCAGCGAGAGCTCGAAAAGGGTTATGTGAGGCCAGAGACACATGAGAATAGAGTGAAGCGAGAGGGAATCACAAGTGAAATTGAAAAGATGCTTGAACAAAAGGAGATCTAGTAGTGACAAAGGGCTCATGTGAACTGGTTGAAGAACGAAAACCAGAATTCCAAAATTTTCCATGCTTTCACATCAAAGAGGAAGAGACGCAATCACATCATAAAACTGGAAAACGACCAAGATAGTTGGATGGGAGGTCATGACCTACTAAGTCTGCTTATTCGGGATTATTTGCGTCATCCTTTTTCCTCGAAAGTCCTTGGTACTGACCCTGCTATCCTTGATAAGATTGTGTTGTGAGTTATGCTGGATATGAATAACCACATGTTAGCCCTGTTCTAGGCAGATGATGTGAAGAACGATTCTTTTAGTATTGGAGATCTAAAAAAACCCTGGGACTAACATCCTACCCGCCATATTTTCAAGAGGTTTATCATCCCATCGGGGGGATATCACCTATGAAGTTCTTGTAGCAATTAATATAATCTTATTCTAGAAAGTTAGAGCCATACTACAATTGGTACTAGTTACAAAGGTTAATACACCAAAACTAATTAGCTAGAACTAGCCGATTAGCCTGCGCAATGTTACATGACAATAATTCCCAAGATGCTTGGGGAGAGTGAAGAAAATTCTTCCATATATTATTGCCTCGACCCAGATTGCATTTGTGCCTGCTAGGTTAATTATTTATAATGTTTTGGTCGCTTATGAGAGTATTTGTACAACTAAGAATAGGAGAAGAGGCAAAGATGGTTTTTGTGTAGTAAAGTTGGTTATGCACAAGGCATATGATATAGTAAAGAGTGTATTTCTTGAGAGGCATGGTGGTTAAAATGGGGTGCCATGACCAGTGGGTGGACCTATTATAGCTTATATATCTTTTGTTACTTATGAAGTTGTGATGTCAGGTTTAGTTCTCAGAAGACTGAGGACTTTGTTCCAGTATAGAGGCATTTACCAAGGCAATCCTTTATTACCTTACTGTTTTCTGCTATGACCAAAAGATCTATGCAATATGTAGTTGCTTGTAGAAGAAGTTGGTGGCATTGATGTGGTTAGGGTGTGCATGAATGCACCATGAATGCCTCTCCTTTTATTCCCCGATGATTCCATAATACTCATGAAAAATGGATACGTAAAATGCAACTTCTCTATAGCAAGTTCTGGACACCTATTGTGTAAAGTTAGCACAACTTGTGACTTATTCCAAATCAAGTATCTTGTTTAGCCCAAACACGGATGTGGATATGAGAACGGACATTAGTCAACATACGTTGATAACGAAGCTTTGTATGACAAATATTTAGGGTTTCATGCACTAGTGGGGGGATAAGAGTAACTGTTTTAAGCATCTATTGAAATAATCAAACAAAAATAAACGGGTGGGATGGAATTAAGCATTTAGCTTGGGCGTTACTTAAGGCCATAGCCCAGTCAATTTTGATGTATGCAATGTTGGTGTTCAGGATCCCTAAAGGGGTTTGAAAGCAAATAATGGATGTGATGTTGTAGGATCGAAAGTATGTCTAGAGGGGGGTGATTAGACTACTTGACCAAATAAAAATCTAGCCTTTTCCCAATTTTAGTTCTTGGCAGATTTTAGCAACTTTGGATAAGTCAAGCAATCTTAACACAATTCAAGCAAGCATGCAAAGAGTATATGAGCAGCGAAAAGTAAAGCATGCAACTTGCAAGAATGTAAAGGGAAGGGTTTGGAGGATTCAAACGCAATTGGAGACACGGATGTTTTTGTCGTAGTTCTGATAGGTGGAGCTATCGTACATCCACGTTGATGGAGACTTCAACCCACAAAGGGTAACGGTTGCGCGAGTCCATGGAGGGCTCCACCCACGAAGGGTCCACGAAGAAGCAACCTTGTCTATCCCATCATGGCCATCGCCCACGAAGGACTTGCCTCACTAGAGGTAGA